TTGGTCTAATGACTCTCAACCACTCAGCTCAGCCCAGAGCTAACAAGGCATCTTGAAATTAAAAAGTGAACTGCAATCCTCAGTAGGCCTGTCCTCCTTTTGGTATTAGTTGGATTTATTTTTCTATCTCACAGAGAGGTAGAGAGCAGCAAGCTGCATTAAGATCTGATGAAGCATCACATGCCAGAGACTCTGCAGGGTTACTGGGATGGGGAGGGCTTGTTGTTAAGAGGAAATGTGATTGGGAGCCATTCCCTCTCAGGGAAAAGTAGGGAATTATCACTGAGCTATTTTCTAACCTTTCTTAGCTATCTATCTGAGATCAACTGAGCAGTGTGGAGAGCAGGTGAAGTAGAGGGGGAATGAGAGAAAGATACAAGTGGATGTGGAGATATGAGGGAGGTAGATTTTGGTCTAAACTGAGAGGGAAGGAAGAGTAATTTGGGTCTGTACAGCAGGTGTACATAATGAGAGCTTTACCATTTATAGGTTGGATGGGAGTACAGAAATATTTTAAGGTTGCAGAACAAATAATGGTACTGTTCTTTGTGTGTGAGTGAGAACATCAGGAGACATGAATCTATAACTGGACAGAAGAAATGCTGCCATATCAGAGAAAAGTAGGGTCTTTTTCTGGCTGATGGGTGTTCTTGCAGCTCCCTACTACTGGGTCAAAGTGCATGCTCCTCCTGTGCCTCAGCACTTGATGATCCAAAGCACCATCTGCTCTGTGGAAAGCAGCTGTGTCACTCCCAGGAAGAGATGAGCAGGTAAGTGGGATCTGCTAGAAGGAACAATTGCTGGTAGGTACAGAAACTGATAGCAAAAGAGGGGATTGGGACAAAATAAAGAGCAAGAAAGAAATAGGGGAAATGTGAAAGAGAACAAGAAAGAGAAGAAAAAGCTAAGAACACCTACTCTCCTATTTTATTTTATAGAAAGTTTACTGTTCTCATACAAGAACCTGTCCGAGAGAGAGAGAGCAGTGGCCCCAAGTCTTCATTGCTTGCATTGCATGACATTTACCCTAAAGCACAGAGCACTAGTAGAACATAATGGCAGAGTTCTGCACTCACTTTGCACTAGTGAAAGTGCCTGCTGAAAGGCAGAGAAATGATGCCAAACATTGCTGATTGTTTCCAGTGACAGGCAGCCAGTTTCAGAAGGGTAAATGTGACACGAGACAAGCAGCACTGTTTGGCATTCAAACTTTTTGTAATAGGTGGCCCCTTTAATTCTCCTCTAACTTAGTCCCCATAATGTCCCTTCACAAGGTACACCATACAGCCCGGTGAAGAGGGACCATCCACTCCCCTATGGGACAGATATGCTTCCCAGGCAGTTTGCATACAATCCATTAGCTCATTCAGCACCCCTGGGCTGGAACTCGATTCCCTGTATTGTCCCTGGGGTGGAACAGGAACAGGAGAAAGGGCCAGAGAAGTAAGACCAAGTGTTTGTGACCAGGGGACATGGCTCCATGGAGTCTTATTACCAGTTTGTAACACAGGCAAAGGCAAGACTAGATTTGCTTATTGTTTCAGTAGTGTGTCCCCTGTAGAAGCAGGAGGAGGCATGTGAGCATGGGAAGCAGCACACTGTAACAGACAACACCATGCATCATAAGCTGTTGTCACTGCCAAGTGTACAGTCACCTCGGATGGCAGCCACAGCCACTCTGAGTGAAACATTGCATGCAAGGCAGCCATGGGAATGAGAAAGGGCTGGACATTGTGCCTACAATGGTGCATGGAGTCAGATCTGGGGCAGCTGTCAGTCCTAGGGACTAACAAAACCTTTCGGGCTGCTCTGCCGGTGAGCCTGGGCTCTGTGGTATTTTCTCTGGCTCCTTCATATCCCCAAGAGAGAGAAGCTTTGCACACAGACAGCTTCTTGGGTCTTTCCCAAAGTGTGATTTTCCAGCTGCACCTACTATTTATGGCACAGGGTGGAAACCTTACTCTCTCTATGGCAGGGATGTGAATGAGCCAGAAAACACAGCAGACCACATCTGTCCCCTGGGGTGTGATTCCCTTCGCCTCAGTGGAATTAACCCTGAAATGGATTTGGCCCAATGTCTCAGAGACTCAGAGAGCTTGAGAGATGGCTGCTGGTGCAGGGAGACTTTTATCCACAGATAATGAATGTAGGTCTACCCCCCCATTTATAATGACTGAGACGTTATAAACAGCCATCTTCTGCCTGTTTGGCGATCCATCCGTGGTGCTGCGCTCCAGCTGGTTCCTACCATTAGAATCCACCCTTCTGTTGACAACACTGCAGGACTGCACTGTCCAGAGCACTCCCTGTCAGTTTTAGAGGCTCAGGCACACCAAGAAAGACCGAGTGGGAGAGGGCACCACTGCCTGCTCATGCTGTACCTCCTCTGGGGAGGCACAGAAGGCTCCAGTTGCTACTGCTATTAATCTTGCCCCTTTCCCTTAAAAACAGGGAAAAGAAAGAGGCTGCTTCTTTTAAAATAAAGCCTGGAAAAGCAGCACTTCAATGCACAGAGTGAGGGTTCCATTCTCTGCTGTGGTTATGAAACTGCAATTAATACCAAAAATGCAGTTAGGTTAAGAATCAGGCACATTTACATAAATTCATAGATTTTTAGGTCAGATGGGCCATTATGGTCCCCCAGGCCAGGCTTCTATCTTACACACCCTATAATATGGTGTCACCTAGCAGTTCCTGCACCCAGCCCAAACCTAATCTTTCTAAGTGAGTATGGAAGAATACAGATCTGTCCTGCCTGCCAATAGGACAGATACTCGAATGAGACAAGGCACCTGGAACAGATCTGTCTTCCAGCAGATCACATTGATGACACCAAGTCCCCTGTCCCTTTTAGTATGCACCACAGGGAGATGGGATAGTCAGTCCCTCACAATCACCACCAGTCTCTGTCTCCCCTCCCTCCATCAATTCAAGCTGTGCAGAGCTGGATCACCTACTGTTTTACTGTGTCATAACCATCACAAGAGCTCGCTATATGGCTTCCTTGCAGTTTTATGTCATATCTGCATTTCTCCACTCATAAAATGTGACTGCACCAATTTCTGTGTTTGGGGGTCAGTCAGCTAATAGGACTGTTTTGAGTTTTCCTGACAGACACTTTTAATCAAATCCTACCATATTCTAGCTCCAAAGAGGTTTCATTACTGCCCACTTACTTGCTGAGTGCCACTACCCTTCAGAAGCTGTATTCAGCTGCATTGAATTTAAATCCAAGATGCACCACTTTGCACCATGAAGGACTTTTTATACAGTTTTTCTGCTCAAGCCCTCCTCAGTGCCCTCATTTTAACAGCTTTTTGTACTACGCTTGCCCTTCAGAAACCCCCCATTCTATTACTACTGATGGGAGAAAGGAACTATGATGGGCTGTGAGAGGAAGAGGTGTGCGGGGAGAGGTCTGTGGTGGGGAGGATTGATTAGAGTTTTAGGCCCATAATCTGGTGCAGGCAATAGGGGTGGCAGCGTGTGGATAAGAACTGGTCTGTGAGAGATTGAGGGAAATCTGAGAAAGCTGACAGAGAGATAATGATCATCTTATGGATCAGAGGGAAATTAGGATATGGGGAGGACTAATCCAAAACACATAGAAATCAATAGGAATTGTACAGCAGGCTTCAACAAGTTCTGAATTACACCTGCATTGAGCAATTCCTGCCCCACACTACTAGCGGCATAGTCCTGGCCTGTTTCCCACTTGGAACCAAGGGCATGAATCTGCTTCTCAGCAGTTGTCTCTAGAAGGGCCTTTGGTTTAGTTCCCAGGAAAGCAGTAGAATCACTGTTGTCCACTGCAATTTGTAGACCTTCTAGTATAAACTCACATTTATGGGAAGGGTAAAGCTCTGCCAAAATTAATCCATCGAGGCAAGTTAAAGGCAAAAGTGCCCCCAAATCCACAACATTATGGTGCTGCCTTTACAGTCCCCATAGTCTTCCCCCTAGTTGTCTCAGATTGGGCTCTCATGGTTTCCCCACCCTCATGAAAATAAAGAGCCTCCTTTCCCTTTTTTCTTGCCATTTGCCCACAGGGTACAAGTAAGCCCTGCAGGAAGAAGGCAACAAATACAAACGTCCCCTACTGAATTCCAGCAAGATCACCAGCTTTGCAATTAATGTTTCACTCTGTAGGGTTAGGAGGCGAACAGCATTCAGGAGTGATGAAGGTAACAGGTGCTTTGTGTATCAGCTCGTCAGCCAGAATACAGACAGACGAACCGGCAACCTGACTGACCAGCTGTCTGAGCATCTGGAGGACAAAATGCCAAACAATCTCATGTTAAGATTGGTAACAGTAGCCAGGGAAGACTATGCAGGGCTACCTTCACCTGCTATACGGCAAAAGGTACAGAGAAAAGAAAGCTCATGTGCCAGGATAAGGAAGCAACCTCCACAGAAATGCCAGCCACACAGAGGAATCTACAAGCCCTAGAGGGTGGGGTTGTTGGTTTTTAACCTTTTGGCAGACAGTGAATGGATGATAAATGAGATTTAACTTGAACTAGTATAGGTTATCCGACTGTTGTATATCATATTACATAGGTCAGCAGCTAGTAAACAAGAAACTCAAGGACGTGAACAGGAAAGAAGAGGCAAGAGAGAGACAGGGAGCAAAGGAAAGAAAACGGTAGGGGAAGAATTCATGTGACAGAAAGAGGAAAGTAGTAGGGCAGGAGAGGGCTGGCACAGTACAAGGAAGGACCCAAATAGAAGAACAGAACAAGAAAAGCAAGGGACAAAAGGCAGAGGAGGCCAAAAGAGAGAGAGCTGAAAGAGAGACATGGGGAAGGCAAAGAAAAAGCAGAGGAAGACAGCTAGTGAGTATGGAGAAGGAAAAGCCTCATGGGTTGATGCATGTTGCTAGTATCTGAACAGGTAGCACTGACATACGGAGCAGCCGGCCTCCTGTGCCTCTGCTCCATTTTGCTTGACTTACAGACTACCCCAGTGCCCAGCAAGCAAGAGAATGTGGATAACCATACCTCCAAAATCAGGTCTCAGGCGGACGTCATATCCTTTCAGCAATTTGTCCACAATCTCTTTCACCACAGATATATTCCCAGTGGATTGGCTGAAACACAGAAGTCCCGGTCATCGTCTTTGCCACAGGAGACACACAGGAGTCCTGGTCAAAGGGCTAACACAAATGCTGTCTCTAGTGTACACTGGTGAGTGTTTCACACACACACACACACACACACACACTCCCTGCCTCACAAGCTGAACACATACACATATACTTTTCCTCTCACAAACACATTCTTCTGTCTCCTAGACACATTTGCTATTGCTACTACATAAACATTCTCATTCTTGTTTTACTGTACATAGATATGGAAACAACAGGTCTGCTTGGGATCCCAGGCTGTTGGGATACCCACTTAATCAGAAAATCCAAAGGGCCATCCCTACAGGCAGTAACACGCTGAACTCTTCACTGGAATGGCCCTTTCGATACTCATTCTCTTTCTTATAAGGCACACACATTTCCCAAATTGCACACTCTTTCATGCACATACCCACTACAGATACACATTCTTCTTTCCTGAGAAAATGGAGATTCAGTTCCTCCCCCTCCCAACCAGCACACACAGCTGTGTGCACACATTCACTCTGTACAGACATCCAAGCTTTATCATGCACATGCACAGCTTCCACACTGCATTCACGTACACTCAGTTTCTTGAACATACTACTGTGTTCACAAAACTACCCTCCTTAGCATATGTACGTATGCACAAGACTCCCACAAGTGCAACCTCCCTCTCGCATCACACACTTACTGTCCAAGACACTGTGCACCTTCTCACGCATCCTAGATACAAACACAGATTCATCACACCTAGATAAACAGTTTGTTCCCCATTGCTCAATCCCCACAAATGCTATCTCCCTTCCCCATACTGTGCACCCAAATGTTCCCTCATGTTATTTGCACACAAAATTGGAAAAAAACCCACCCCTTCCTACAAATATAACATGTATCTGATCTCTGGCCTTTAACAATAAATGTTTTACCATTGTATCAGAGCAGCTTCTAACGTGGTCTTAGTAATGCAGACACAGAGAGAGTGAGGCAGAATTCATCTTTGCCTTAGTATGCTTGGATAATTATCTTTTTCCTACCAAGCCCTCTGTTTTTCATCTGGAGGCTGGGTGGTCTCCATCCTTATTGGTGTTCCAGTTTCTTCCAGTTATACAAGAGGGAGGGGTCTCCTGCTATAAATATTCCTGGAGGCTCACAAAGAGCCAGGGTGAAGAAGCTAGAGGCAAGAAGTAGCTAAAAATGAGCCTCCAGCCCAAACCCACCCACAGTGTCTGCTCTGTCCCCACTATTTTCTAGACTCTAATAACATTCTTTGCAATCAGAAGTTAGGCTCCAAGTCTTTGGAAAAAGACACATCATCCTATCCACACTGCCTGCCACATTAAGCCAATTCAGGATGGAAAGCTGCAACAAAACACACCCCTGCCAGCCAAGCTTCATGTCTCACTGGACATGGGGATTTGTGTTGACATGTCCACATGCTCTGGAACACACAAATGTTTATGTACTCCTCTGGTTGTGATCTCTATATATGGATTTCCAACATGAAGACATGAGCCTGTATGTTTATGAGCGCTCTTGAGTTAGTATGTGTAGCTGCATGTGACATGGACACAGATCTGCATATAGCTGGGCATCTCCGGATTCAGGTCCACATTTCAATTGATGTGGCTACATAAATTGTTGAATACTGACAATCTAGATGTATAGATACATAGGTACATATATTTATATATGGTTACATGAGTTTGGGCATGCACAGATGTATGGATTAAGTGAATGGATCTGAATAGAGGAACCAGGTCCACTGAACAGTATGTGCAAGTATTCTGTATCTGGATACATGAATGATGGGTGCATTGATGCATGTGTGAATGTAAGGTAAAACATCTCTGGGCATCAGAATTTAGATCCATGGATAAACTGGTACATATGCTGGTGGATAAATTAATAATAAAACTGTTTTTGTTTATTTTATTTGTAACTTAATATGAACTGTTTTATTGTACCCTGTACAGGCAAACATGGACATATGTACAAAATGTTCCTTTTCATATACAGTTTCTGTCTGAACATCCATATGTACTTTTTGTGGATGTAGACAAGGACAACAAGCACGCATGGATCCCTGTGTTTCTGTATGTGTATTTGTTCATGTATGGTAATATTTGGAATTTGTGCCTGAATACATGTGCACAGTATCCATGGGTAGTTGAGTTCATAGGTTTAACATATCCATATAACAGTAAATGCATAATACAACAAGCCCTTTTGTAAGGATATCAAAGGTATTAATTTAGCCCTACACCAAGCAGTGAAGTCAGAAAGTATCATTATTTCCATTTTACATATAGAGAAACTGAGGCAAAGAGAATATTATATGCCTAAAGTCAAGCCCATGATAGAGTTTGAAATATAAATGCTGATGTCCTGTCCTCACCCATAAACTAAAAGCAACTCCTACAGAAGTCAATGGGAGTTACTTGTATTCTGTGGGAATAAAAATAGGGCCAACGTCTCTGTTGTGACTCTCAGGTCTGTGTCTGAACCATAAGGCCATCCTCCTATTGCTGAACCAACAGTCCCTGTAGTTACACAGGAATTTATAAGTATTTGTATGTTAGCTTATAATCCTTGTGGACAAAAGTCTTTATGCATGACAGATCATATATACTGAATGTCTGAGTTGTCTCTTTGAATACTGCATATGTGAACCTTAGTGAGTGTACATGTGTTCTGTATGTGTATGCATAGCCCGTGTGTATGCGCATCATGGTGAATAATTAATGAGGGTGAATATGTATGTGTACAAAAGTAAGTATAAGTTACTTGTCTGCATTTAGTTTCAAAGGTACATATATGGTATGTGTGTTCAGCATGTGCACAAGTCTGTAAATGGGCAGATATAAACAAATGTTCATGGACATGTATGGGCAGGTGGTACATACATGCACATGCATGTGTGCACATCTGAATTTTCAGTATGTGTAAACATAACTCTTTACACATCCTTTCCATACCACTGGAGAATTGACATGAGGGGTGGCATAGACCTGTGTATATGCACATATGCGTTACTGTGTGTATATGTGCTTTGGCATGAAAATAGAAACATAAGCCTCTGTATATATGTATCTGTATTTGTGAACATGGGTCTCTATGTGTTTGCTTGTAGCACAATGTTAGATAAACATGGATGTGTAAGTACATATACATGTATATTCATGCACTGACACTAATAGAGGGAGCACAGGTTGTAAATACACGTGCACTTTTGTGTGAACTGATGGTGAGGGGAGTACATATACATTTTACTTCTGCACATATGCTGCAGGAAAATATATATGCATGTATGGAGAGATATACCTTGAACATCAGTTCCAGTATGGATGTGTGAGCATCTATAGATATATGCATCTCTGCGTGCTTCAGTCATATCAGTGGTCATATTTGCACGTGAGTACGCCAGGCATTAATACATACGCATCCATAGACACATGTCATGCCTATATATTATGGTGTTTCATGTATAATGCATAGATGCATGTTTTGGACTGATAGAGGCATGGTTCATTTGCATGTGTACATGCCCTACATATGTCTGTACGCAGTGTAGACGTATGCACTGCATCTGTACTGCACATTACAGAGAGGAGCGTAAATGTAAATGAACACATGCATGGAGATGTCTTAGTGTGGCTGAATGTGCAGTGTGTGTATAGATGCATGCAGGGCTATGCCAGGCTGTTTGTGTGGACGCATTGGCATGTGTGCACATCAGTGCCTAGGTTCAGTTCATCTTTACTCACTGGACACCATTATGTTTCCCAGCTTTAATGGTGTTTAATTTCTCCTAATCCAGTTTTGTGTAGTGGCAGATCGGCTGCATACGGGCTGAGAGGTGAGCTCCGTCTGCAGAAAGCTTGCTCCAGATTTCATGCATGAGCACCCATCCTCCCACTAAAATGCAATAGCCTAGGCAATAACACTGCCAGGCATCAGGAAAGCAAGTGGGGCAGGGGGGAGGGAAGACCCCCTCACACACCAAAACAAGCCAGACACAGGCTTCCCCCTGCTCTTGTCCCTGAACCCGGGAAATGAGATCTTACCTTTGCGCAAAGCAGGCTAGACAAAGAGCTGCTAAAGCAGAGACAATTCCACTCAATCTGTCTGCCTGGAATCTCCACATTTCCACAAACACGATGGAAGAAAAAAATTGGGAGGGGAGGGGAGGGGAGGGGAGGACGGATCTTCTGAAATCCCCCTCCAAAAAAAAAAAAGGAAAAAGAAAAAGAAAAGCCAAAAAATAAAATGAATAATTTCCTTAGAAGACCCACATGAATGAATAATAATTTTAAAATAAATAAATAAATAAATAAATATATATATATATATATATATATATGGGGGAAAAATATCCCCCCCTCCTTCAGTGCCAGTCAAAGAATTCGCCTCTTCTTCCTTTAAGCATCCTCTCAACAAGAGACATCCTCTGGCAATGGAGAAAATCCCAAGAGAGAGAAAAATAAAAAGCTCCCAAAATGGACTAAGCAAAGTGTGGAATCAAATCTCACAGATTAAAAAAAGAAAAAGAAAAAAAAAAAAGAACCCCTTCGCCCCTGAACTCTCTCCACTTGGATTATTTTCCTCCCTGCTATTTTGCCATCCAGTTCTGCAGATGTTGCATGGCTCCTGCCATCCACCTTCAGAAGAAGAGGAGGAGGAGAAAGGGTGGGGGGGAGGCACGAGGGAGGGGGAGACTTATCTAGCAATGCAATTTTATTCTGGATTTTACCTAGCCTTTGCTGCTCTGATCCCCCCTCCCCTTTTTTTCTTTTCCAAGCAAGATTTTCCAGCCTTAAGGTGCTATTTTGGTTTTATTTTATTTCATTGCATCTTGATTCTGATGACTTGGATGGATCTTTTGAAAGGATTAAAAAAAATGAAAGAATGGGAAAACAAAAAATCAAAATAATGATAAAATTCTGTATGCAGAAAAAACTGCTTTCAAAAAGAGAACTGCATGTCTCCTTAATGCTGTTGCTGCAGCTCCTGTAGAGTTTTTCTGCTCATTGCAAAGTCACAAGAGAAGGGGAGGAGAGAGGGAGTTCATAGATTGAGGAGGAAAAAATCTACGGGCAAACTGGTATCGTGACGTTATGGCTGACAACATTAACCCCTGCTGGCTTGGAAAGGGTTCTTTTGGGGAGGTGGGAGGGATGGTGGTGTTTTTGCAGGGAGTGGATGGATCGGAATGGGAGTGCTTTGCCTACTGGAACCGATCGATCACTGCCTTGGACATTTGAAACAGGCAGGTAAACTCACAGAGAAAGCACCAAAGAGCAAACAAAATACACGAGTGTCTCTGTAAGCCAAGGGCTAATGAGGATGATGGTATTTCTACAAAGTCTTCAAGGAGAATTCTTGATGGCTTTTGGAAAATGACAGGGAGAATCCAGGAGTTCCCTCAGGAGGGAGAGACAGCAACACAGAAAGAGGTTATTTTTTGCTTTCTAGAATGTAACAGAAGCTCAGATTCTGATCCAAAAGACTGTGAATTTGGGGGTTTTAAATATTGTAATGCTGCCAGTTGTTGGCTATTTATGCAGTGGATTTACCCACTCAACGAGTACTGACACCACAGTCTCCTTATCAGCTATAGATCTGTGTATAACAAATTTAAGTAAAACCCAAGCCCCATCTCTCTGGGCAAAGCATAAAGCAATCAGCTTCCTGGGAAGTATTTCCCTGGGAAAGGGGAGGAATGAGGGCAGAACCTTGAATCCATGCTTGTGCGGCTTATCTGTTTAACATAAAAATAGCCCTCTAGGGCTGTGCGAAATTTCAGCAGCCGTTTTGTTTCGGAGCTGTTTTGGGCCATTTTGGTGCCTGAAACACCAAATCGGAATCAAAATGGAAGTCTCAGAAACATCTCTAAAATGAAATGAGCTATCTGAAACATTTCAGAAAATTTTGGAGTTTTGGACCTGGGCTTGCAGGGAAACAGCTGTACACTGCTGCCCTGCTGTGCCACTCAGCTCCGCAGGGAGCAGAGATCTGCGCCAGGGGTCTCCTCGGTGCCGCTACCCACCAGCACTGCCTCAGTGATGCAGGTCTGCCAGGGCAATGTGGGGTAGGCAGGAATGGTGAGGAGACCCTCAGTGCAGATCTCTCCTCCCTGCAGAGCCGAGTCACATGGCAGGGACCAGCAGGCTTGCTCACAGCTCTGCGCTGCTTCCCTGTCCTGCGACCTGGCATGACTGAGATCAGAGATCCATGTGGGGGTCTTCTCGCCTGCATGGAGGGCAGCAGCCCTCCCCTAGACAAGCCATCCACGGCCCTGTCTTGCTCCCCAGTGGGGCCCTGCAGCCCCTGGCCCCAAGCCCCTCCTGGATCAAGACCTACTAATATCCTGTTTCTGACAGTGGTCTCTAGCAGTTGGCTCATGGGAACAAACTTCCTGATGGGGGTCGGTTTTACCTAACCTCTACATTTAGGGGCTGGCTTCTGCCTTGCAGCATGAGGGTTCAGAAACCTTTCAACTCTGGTTTATTCAAGACGGTAGAACTTTTCCTACACCTGATGGCCTGGACAAGGCAAGGAGCACCTCACACTTCTAATGTCATCCTAACAGATGCACAGGGAGCTTGGGAGCAAACCTGCAGGTGTGTTTTCCTTCATCCACTGCCATGCTGTAGAGGTGCCCCCTGCTCGGTAGCTGGTTGGAAGCAGTAATTCTACCTCCTGCCATGAGGCAGGGAATTCCACCCTTTTCCAATCTGTCACATCTTCCATTTTTCAAGGATGGCCCCCCCAATAACACACACACACACTTTACATTTCTGACAAAAAAAATCCAAGTCCATCCGTGCATATGTTGGCCTCTCCAACTCACATGACAGACAGGAGATATCCCATGATCAGGGCGAAACCTATGGGAGTTTGGAGGGAGCTGGATGGGTGGTAAAAAGATATTATTTCAGATGGCTACTGAAGGTGTTTGTGTGTGTGTATGGGGAAGGGGTCATCCAGGAATGGGAAGGGGTGATGTGGGGGAGTTGCCTTCCTCCTTCATGCCTGGTCCTCCATATTGCTCCCTGCCCTCTTTTCTCCACACTGTATCTCAGATTCAGGTGTGGTTCCATACAGAGCTGTGCCTTCAGCCCACAGGCTGAGCAATGAGAAGGACTCCCAAAATTACTCGACACTCAGAATCACCAGGGCCCCAGTAGCCTGTGAAAGTGAAATGACCCTAACCTGTGCTTTGTATATGGTATCTATTACTCCACTGCCAGACTGGCCCTTCATGTTGCACAGCACCATGCTTTAAACCTGTGACTAAGGCAGCAGTCAATATCCTGGCACTATGTGAAGGACACCAGTGGGGGCATTCTATGTCAGACTTGATTTCCCTCAGCTTGTCCTGCTTCCACAGTTGCAGTACTGTTACTTCACAACAGTGTGATGAGCAGGGATCCATGTTTTCTGTATCCCACAGAAAAACGGAGAAAACCGCGGATTCCCTGTTTTGCTAGAGAAAGTGCAGATTTCCCCTTTTAGCAGAGAAATCCATGGATTCTCCACTTTTGCAAAGAGCACTTGCAGGCTAGCACAGGCTAGCACAGCTCCAGCCTGCAAGAGCTGATTGCAGAAAGGGTGGGAAACCCCCAGTCCTGCTAGGAGGGAGAGGGAGAGGGGGAAGGGCAGGACTTGAGCCTCTGAGTTAGCCAAGGCTGGGCTCAGGCTCAGGCTCAGGCTGTCCCCTCACCCCTGGAGCCTAGAGGTAAGTGGGGCTTGGGGGTTGTGGGGGTGGTGGCTGGGGGCTGAGGGAGTGGAGGATGTGCCGGGTGCCTCCAGCCCCAGATGGCACATTGCAGTGCCTCCCTGCCCCCTACCGCAGCCTGCTCTCAGGAGCAGGGCCAGGGGCAGAGTGGTGGCAGCAATGGCTGCCACGTGTGAGCCCCCCTCCCCTCCAATCTGTGGGCATGGTTCCTTGGACAAGTGGCAGCAGTGCCGCAGGATGGTGGTGGTGGCAGCTGTGTGCTGCCCAGCCGGCCAGCGGGAGCAGGGGTGTTTCGCACATAGTGGCCACCATCACCTTGCATCACTGCTGCCACTTGTCTTCAGAGCCTTGCTTGTGGACAGGGAGGATCACACGCAGTGGCCGCCTCCATGCAGGCACAGCTCCACAGGCAAGCAGCCGTGGTGGTGGCTGCCACATACATGGCCCCCACTGCATCCCTGGCCCTGCACTGCTGTGGAGCTGTGCAGCTGGAGATGGTGCAGTGGTGCAGCTCCTGTTCTGGCTGGCCAGTGGGTGAGGGAGGCAGGGGCTTGCATGCAGTGGCCACCACTGCACTACCACCGCCACCTCCCACACTGCTTGTCCACAGAGCCATGCGGACAGCAGTGGGAAGGCAGCGCAGGGTGCAGCGACAGAGTTGCAGTGGTGCCACCATGTGTGGACCCCCCATCAGGCCAGCTGGCTTGTGTGCGGCCCGCAGAGGGGCATCCATGCCCTCACTCCTTGGCACTGCTCCTGGAAGCAGGCACAGGGGCACACTCCCCCTGCCTTCTTGATCTACCCCCTCAGCACCTTCCCTTCCCCTGCCACAGCCCTTCCCCCCATACACACTTACCTACTGGGGTGGATGTCTGTGCCTGCATGTGTGGGGCAGGGGGCTGTTGTGGGCAAGTGAGGGGCATCAGGAGGGCTGAAGAGGCTTTGCGGGGCGGGGGGGAGTGAAGGGCACCAGCAGCACCAGGGGTGGGGTGGCTGTGGAGGGCCTTTCATTTTAATCATGGATTTGGGGTTTTTAATCAGAGAATTTGCAATTTTTAATCAGAGAAAACTGGGATCCCTGGTGATGAGAATTACATTTCCCTGACATTGCTTTGGGTCTTTTGTAGCGTTATGATGGGAAAGGGGCTTGATACTATAGTGAAGATACATGGTATCACAACAGGGGTGTTACTTTTTCCCCCACCTTGGCTCTTCTATGACAAGAACAAGGAGTTTCCTCTCCAACCAAATATCTCAAGGTTGTGGAGGAGGCACAGAGGAACCTTCTCCAACTAGGGGAAACCGTTCACATGCAGAAGAGGCAAGGAGATAACAATCCATATCCAGCTCTGAATTCAAACTCCTGCCTCCTCACCCCTCCTCCACAGAAGCAGAGATTGTCCAAC